TCCGATGCCCTTCGAAACGGTACACTCTAGGCGCGTCGCTCGAGCCTGCTAAGAAGCAACGGAGGTGGCGGAGGATGACTCCCGGGATGTTTCCGTCGATGCGTCATCATGCTGCTCCTCTGAGTGAAGTTTCGGCCGCACAGATCGCACACGTACGGCCTCTCGCCCGTGTGCGTCAGTTGGTGCACCCTGAGCGCCGTTGATCTGGCGAAAGCTTTCGAGCAGATCGCGCACTCGTACGGTCTCTCGCCCGTGTGCTTCCGCGCGTGAAGCTTCAGAGCGTGGTTGGTCGCGAACTTCTTGCCGCACTGGGCGCACAGGAACGTCTGCGAGTGCAGGCCAACGTGACTGCGAAGATTGTGCTCGGTGGCAAAGCTTTTCCTGCATACGTCGCACTGGAACTCCTTCGGCGCGCTACTGTGGATCCCGTGGATCACGCGTTTGTGCGCCACCAGATAGGTCTTCTGCGAGTAAGCGCTGCCACAGAACTCGCAGACGAACGTCTTCCCATCCAGGTGGCTGGCCTTGTGATCCTCCAGTTCGTAATTGGACATGAAACACTTGCCGCACTGGTCGCAACGGTAACGAAAATTATGCTCGTGAACACGACGATGGTGCATCTTCAGGGAGAGTTTGTTGATCGAGATGAAACCGCACAGTTTGCACGTGTGCTCGACGCCACTGTGGATCTGCGTGTTGTTGGACACCTCCGAGGAACGTTTGAACGTCTTGTCGCAGAGGGAGCAAACGTGTCCTTTTTGCCCTTCGTGATTGCTGTTCCCCTTCTTCCAACTCGTCGATGAATCGCTGTCAGAATTTTCAGAGCAGAGGGCTTCCCGTAAGATCTCATCTATTGACAAGGGTCTCTTTTGTTCTACCGGTGGTTCCGACGACGGAGACTTTGGTCTTGAATCGAAGACAGCCTGTTCACCGCGCTCTTTGGATTTCGCGTCCCAATCTACGACCCCGAGAGCTCTGTAATCAACAACGTGATTTTTCAACATGTGTTCACAATCGTTCGTCGAAACAATGTCTTGCAGATCGCCGGGCATTTTCTTTAACAACAACACGCAGTACGTACTTGTAATTCTCTTTCTTTCGAGAGGATATGAAGGGGAGGCGCGATCGTTGGCTCGCGAGAAGCAAAGAAAGTTGGTCGATTGGAGCAGAAAGTCGCTACACACGATTCGTTCATTCTTTTTTTTTTTTTTCTTTTTTTCAGTGAATCATTGTTCTTTTATTAAACATATAATAACGAGTATCAATATTTATAATTAACATGGAACTTGTAGTCGCTATGCTCTCTTAGTCGAACAGTCAAATTATTCTGCCGTACGGCACGAATTTCTTCGACTTATACGTAAACGTACAATTGAAGTGAAAGCTCGACCGATCGGCGAAGTAATATATTATGAAAAATCCATTGTCACTCGAGTTTCTGAAACGACGAATAAAATGCGTGGAAGAAGCTGCGAAGAACATCGAACGTCTCAATAACGAACAAATAATAATATAATTACAGCCGCAAATGTGTTGTATTGGAAAGAAAATGTAACGAATCGTTAAAAAAAAAAAAAAACTAAAAATTCGTTTCAACTGAAACTAATCCACGGACACGCACTTCCGGTTTACCATCGATCACGACAACCTGCACGATCGTGAATCAATTATTGTTTTTCGTAACATGCAGGACCAACGGAGTAACCACAATCTCGGCGACGACGACACAAATGATCCATTGTTCTTCGAGTTCAGAGTTCAACCCTCGACAGGGAAGGCACTCGAATTTAAACGCAGGTCGACTTCTGGTGAGATGTCAGGTTGCCTTGGCACGAGAAGCCACGATTGCAGATCTGGCAGACGTACGGCCGTTCTCCCGTGTGACCTCGCCTGTGTATAGTCAGCGTGGACCTCTGCGAGAAAGCTTTCGGACACTGGTCGCACTTGTAAGGTTTCTCACCGGTGTGCACTCTCCTGTGCATCCTCAGATTCTCAGAATCGGTGAAACCCTTGCCACAGATGTCGCAGACGTACGGTTTCTCCCCGGTGTGGATCCGTCTGTGTTTCTTCAAATGTTCCGCGCTGCTGAGACTCTTGCCGCAGTAATCGCACAGATAGAGCTTCGTAGGATTGTGACTCTCCTTGTGACGGAACAGGGACCTCTTGGTAGCCAACACCCGGCCACAAATGTCGCAGGCCGTGCTGGTCACTTTGTTGGCCTTCATTTCAGGATGCATGCGTCTGCAGTGAGCGGAGAGCTGCCGCCTCAGGTAGAAAGCACTGCCACACAACTGGCAAACGAAAGGCTTGTCCCCGGAGTGGATGTTGTAGTGCTCCTGCAGGTCGATCGCTTTCCGGAAACGCTTGTCGCAGTCGTTGCACTTGAAAGGGAGGTCCGCCTTGTCCGTGTGTCGTAACATGTGAATGCTGAGCGCGGCCAACACGGTTGTCTCGTAGTCGCACTCCTTGCACATGTAACTGGGATAGAAGTGAGTCTTCTCGTGCCTAGTCAGATCGCGGAACAGGCGGAACTTCTTCGGGCAGTGTTTGCAAGTCAAGTCGCCGACAGTGTGACGCATCAGATGTTTCTGGTAGTTGCTCTTGTGCCGGAACACCTTGTTGCACGTTTTACAGAGGAACTCCAACTCCGGCTTCTCTTTCTTCACCTTCAGGCTACCGGAACGACTGCTCGCCACCGTCGACGCGCTGCTCGCTTTACGCCCTCCCTTGCGACCCGCGTGCTTCTTCATGTGCTTTCGCAGATTCACGTACGTCCTGAACACCCGGCCGCACTGCGCGCATGTGTTCTTACGTTTACCCTTGTGCTCGATCTCGTGATTGTCCAGCAGCGCCTGCGAAGCGAAAAACACACCGCACAGTTTACAGTGGTATGCCAACGGTAGATCCTCTTCCTCGTCCTCGTCGTTCACTTCTTGCTTGATAAAGTTTTGCTCCTGGATCATCGGCAGGATGGTCGCGTTGTTGCCGGTCGCAGCCAGATCAGCGCACTTCGTCGGCGTCGTGCTCTCCGAGTCCGCGTCCTTCTTCATCAAGTCGAGCTTCGTCAACATCGCCATCGGGTAATACTCTTCGGAGAAGGGTAACTGGTTGTATCTGAAATGTAAAAGTTCAAAGAGACACATCAGTATCGGACGTTCTCGCTTAATGGTCGCAGTCTTGCCGCGCTCGGAACGCGTTTTCTCTCTTTTTTTTTTCTTTTCTTTTTTCTCAAATCGCATACCTGGAAGAGATATCGAGCACGCTCTACGGTTCCTGTATAGATTGGTAAATTGTAGACAATCGTGCTTTTTTTCTTTAGTAAATTAGTTGCACGTCAGATTTGAGTCTAGCTAATATGAAAAAGAAAAAGATCAGTTGCGAAGATGGTATTTCGTTTCGAAATTGCGTGTCTAATAAAAAAAAAAAAGAGCGATCGTGTTTGCACGATGTTAAACGATTGTTTTATTTAACAAAATTGTACATGCAATGGTAGTTAAGTATCTTGCAAAAATACCATAAATTTACAAATTCCTCGGCGTCGTTATACGCAGACTACTTTGTTCCCACTTAATAAATTCGTTATGTACATTAACGTAATACTGTGTGTTGCAATCTTGATATATTACCCGAATGTGGTGAGACTAATTAGGTATTTCCGACAATTTGAGAATCAGAGAGGAGATAAAATGACATACAATTGAATATTTTTAATCTTAAACTTTGGCACCGATGAAAATTCATTTCGAAGTGGCGTTCGTGATACGTATAAAATTGAATTAGGTCGTGTTCTTCTAAACTTCCTTTTAATTACATATTTAAACCGTCGTATTCAGGATCGAATATTCTAAACGTTGTAAATAAATTTACAAATCAAGTAGTTTACGAAACTAGCATTCTAAAATTTCAATCTTCGAACAAACACGTTCGACGTTGGTTTTTTTTTTCCCTTATTAACTAATTACTCGAGAACGTTTGAAACGTCATTCCGTTTGATCCACCGGGACGTTCACCGCGTGCACTTTGTTGTGCGCGTTCAACGACGAACGAGAAACGAACGATTTGCTGCAGACCTCGCACTGGTACGGCCTCTGGCCCGTGTGATATCGTTTGTGAATAACTAACGTCGAGTGCTGCGTGAACGATTTCCCGCACGTGTCGCAAGTGTACGGTTTCTCGCCGGTGTGGGTTCTCTTGTGAACGACCAGGGTGCTCCTCTTGCGAAAAGCTTTGCCGCACACGTCGCAGATCAACAGCTTCTCCCCGCTGTGCAGACGAAGATGATCCTGAAGGGATCCCTTGGAAGACACGGATTTACCGCATAGGTGGCAATCGTACTTATTCTCGCCCATGTGGGACTTCACGTGGAACACCAACGAGTTCTTGTACACGAACGTCTTGCCGCAGAATTCGCACTGGTGCTTCACTGGCTTGAAGTTCGGATCGTGCATCTTCAGATGCTTCACCAGAGTGTGATTGTTCGGGAACGATTTGTCGCACGAGTGGCAAACGTGCTCCTTCGCGCCGTGCTTCACGTTCATGTGACCGTGTAGCTCCGCGTTCGTGAAGAATCCTTTCTTGCAGATCGCGCAGTATCTCGTGTACTTGTCGAAGTGGCGTCTCTGATGGGTGGTCAGTTGGAAAGCTTGAACGAACGCGTGCCCGCACACGTCGCACACGAAGTTCCTCTCTCGAGTGTGGATCCTTCTGTGAACGGCCAGCGTGTTCGTCCTCTTGAACGACTTCTCGCAAATGTCGCACTGATAAGGTCGAGCGTCGCTATGTGACACTCGGTGGCCTTCGTACAGATTTCTCGTCCTGAAAAGCTTTCTACACATTTCACACTGATAGAACGTCTGCGCCAAGGTATCAGGATGCTTCTCCTCGTTCCTCGTCTCTTTGGATTCATCCGCGTCGTTTTCGGTCAGACTCTGAATCTTGGCGCAACGAATATTCCCAGTCGAGTATTCACACTGGTTCGTCGTCGAACGATCATCCTCTTCTTCTTTTATCGAGCGTAAAACTACTGATCTTTTCGTGATCATTTGTCGAGCCGGTGGTTCGATCCTCGAACTTGACGGCGATCTGCGAAGAAAATGAAAAAAAGAGCGTCGTCAATAGCGATTCTTATTTCATTAGCATAGATCTAACGACAACTTCGATTTTATGGGAGGAACTGGCTTTTATTGTTAGAACATTTTTTGCTCGGTTTACATCTGACGAAATACACTCGGATGACATACAATAGGAATATTACGATGTTGGATTCTCTTTTGTTACGTTCTCTCCTCTTCTTTCTTCTTCGTTTGGCTCTTGAATGCTTTACACGTGTTATGTTTCTCGAAGGCTTGTTTTGTATAAGACTATAATAACATTTATTACAAAAATATATTTATAAAATAAAATGAAGCTCGTTGTTGGAATAATAAAATTTGTTACAGGGGTAAGACATTATTATATTCTGTTGCTATGAATACAGAATGTATAATTTCCTTACGGTAAAGTAAAATTCTCCTTCGAATTGTTATAAATATATTATATATTTTGCCTATTCTTTCTGAAAAAAATTTACAGTATGTAAAAAAAAGGACTCGCTTAATATAATTAATAGAAATAAAAACTAACATATCTATAATTTTTATAGCGATAATATTCGTACATTATAAAAAAAATTCAAGATTATTGTATAGTTGATTTTTAAAATTTACTATATCAAGCAAAGAGTAACAGAATGTTATCTAATTTTTTTGCATGAAATCCTTACTTCTCTTTGCATTTTTTACAAAATAAAACTATACGATATGTATGCAGAATGCATGTATCACTCGTATTCTGTCAATTAACTTACAAATTAATTTATTCATGAACGAACCAGTAAGTTTTTGTTCACTTGCGCATGTGCGTTTTTAGCCGTGAAAATGTGTATTTGCATAAAAAGATATATGAATGCATTAAAAGTTTCCTATTGTAGTAGTAAAAAGCAATAGAGTTTGCAAAATTATGTTAGTGAAAATCTATATAAAAAAATTATATAATTAATATCTTGATATTTTGTAAATAAATCTAGTAGTAAACTTAAATCTATACGAATATTGTATTTATTACAATATAAACTGGTTTTAATATTTATATTTTCAGTAAATAATTTATAAGCAATCAGAATATGGAATTATGCAACAAGCTTTATTCCATTTTTCGCATATGTTCTTCTTGTTGTATGAAAATTAAATCAAAAATTATGTTATCGTTAAAAAAAAATCATATTATCTTTCTTGAAATTAATTTTCCAATGATTTTTTGTACATTATGGCACATTTTAAATCGTGAAATTTTAAAATATCTACTGTATCTTTCATCATTTGTATTATTCCTCTCGTTAACAAAAATAATTTTTAATAGCTTCAAATACTGCCAAATCAAAACTGTTCCATTTACTTAATTCAATCATTTTATAACAATGAAATTAATAATAACTAATTTGTTTTCGTTGTAACACTGCTCAATATAACTCTTATCAACTGTATTACCATTATCCTCTAGCATTATAATAGATTCATATCTGGTGTATTCGATATTTGCAGTTACACTTGCTTTCAATAGGAGAATATCTTGTTACGCTGTTAGAAAAGTTTTACTGGAAATATCTTTTGTAAAAGTTACGATTTGGGAAGTACAGAGATACATCTGGGTAAAAAAATGACAATCACAAATTGTCGCGACGTTGTGTTGACTGTCATGTTGAGCTTTCCTCTATCGTTAATAATATTGTTTCTCATCAAGAAATTTTACTAAAGTTGTTTTTAATCTTTGTAAAATCGTAATATCAAAAAATTAAACAGGAATTTTAATTGTTTAATAATTCTAAATAACGAAGTGTAGATAATTGAAATATCTAACGAATCTTTTAGAATGATGAAATATCTTCCAAAAAGTTCAAAAGTGACAGTCATCACGAAAAGACCTAATACACCAAATATTCCACAATATCTTTCACCGTTACCTCTCAATAATCTTACACAAACACACGCACATATATGTTTTATGGTTCATTTTCGTTCGTTATGCGACTTCATGTGCGAATTCAACGAACCCTGCTGCGTAAACCTTTTCTGGCATACCTTACACTCATACGGTCTTTCGCCTGTATGCGTTCTCAAGTGTACAATCAGATATTTTCGAACGCTGAAAGATTTGCCACATATTTCGCAGACATGCGGTTTCTCGCCAGAGTGTATACGCATGTGGATTTGCAGGTAAGCCTTACTCGACACTAATTTCCCGCAGATCTCGCAGGTAATCAAATTCTCGCCCGTGTGGATTTTAAGGTGTACCTTCAAAGCCGCTTTCCAATAGCTCTCGAAATTGCAAATATTGCATTTGTGTTTCTCACGTTCGCCGTGGGACTTCATGTGCGTGTTCAGATAAGCGGCGCTCGCGTACGGGGTGTTGCACACCTTGCAGACGAATGGCTTCTCGCCAGTATGAGTGAGCAAGTGTCTCTCCAGAGTTTGGTTCGTGTAGAAGCCTTTGCCGCAGATCTCGCAATGCGTCACGTACTCCTCGTTGTGTTTCTTTTTATGCAAACGAAGATCGTAACCGGATACCTTCGAGATACCGCAAATGTCGCACGTGAAACGTTTGTTGTGCTGCTTCAGGTGTGTCTTCAAGAATTCCTCCGTTTTGAAGCATTTGTTGCAGAGAACGCATTGAAACGGTTTCTCTTTCTGATGCACCTTGATCACGTGCTTTCTCAGCTTCTCTTCGTCCGTGAAACTTCTGTCACATTCTTCGCAACGATCCATTCCACCTTCCTCGTCATTCCTCTCGTGGTCCTGCCTGTGCTTCAGGAATTGAAGCTTCTTGCGCATTCTCTTGTTACAAATGTCGCATTCGTACACGATCGAGCATTTTCTGCTCTCGTATTTCTTGGTGAAAACTTTATTAGAGTTCATTGACAGTTCTTCGTCCTGGAGGGACACCTTTATGTCCATGTTGTCTTGACTTTCTCCCAACGTGTCAGTTATTATTTCTTGGTGGCTAATCTGTTCGAACTCCTCGACTGTGCATATATCACTCTCATACTTCACCAGTTCCATATCCTCGAGCGTTTCTATTTTTGGTTCCTCGGCGTCGATCTCCTGACACCTGTAATGGACAACACTCGTAAACTACTATGAAATGCAATGAAACACAACAGAGGTGGTGATAAATATTGTTCTCGGGTAAAAGATTTCCTTCGTTTGTATGACGAACTGGTCATTTCTTCTGCTATTGGCGATTTAGCAACGGACATAATTTAATATGAGGAAAGGAGGAAAAATTAAAATTCTTCTTGAAAATAATTTCAAACTTTCGTGTAGAATCAAACAAAAATGAAGATGTAGAGAGATTATAGAATAGAATTTTTAAAAACTAAGATCCCTTGACATCATTCGTTTTTTTAAAAAGATATTAGTATACAAACTTTTACATGTTTTGTAACGTCGTTTTATAAGATCGTGATCTTTTAAACATGATTTTTACGAAATCATTAAGATTCAATACATCACGTTCAAAATTGTTTTCAAATACAATATTCTGTAGTCACACGCATTTCTAATTTTCATTCCGAAATTTTCAAAGTTATGTAGAAAATTCATGTATTACGGAAACGATGTATTTTAAAGTTTTTATGTTTGTTAAGAGCTGTATCTAATAACAAATTCACAATCTGTCTCTCAATTTAGCATTTGCTACAGAGAAAAGATAGTTAGTGCATTGCGTTACTATTTTTCTAAATGTTTCCTTCGGCCCAAAAATTTATCACTTACTTACCAGCAGCTATATCGCGTGCAACCATCGTACTAATTTTACATATGAGGGCTAATCTAAATTAAATATAAAATTGCTTAGTTTTTTTTATTAAAATGAAACTTTTAATATTCTTCAGTTCTTGTTAAGATATTAAAATATTACAAGTGATATGATGATTTATGCCTATGTACTTGCTAATGTCATTGCATTATATACACGCAATTATCACAATACAAGTTACAATCATAGAAGGATCAACCAATTCTTTTAATATTAAAAATCTATCTTCGAACACTATCAGTTTCAAATTATGTGTAATAATATTAGTGTAGTAATGCGTAGGAATTTCAACTGTTAATCGAAAGAAAATATTCTCATCTCGTAATTAGTCCTATTAACAGCAAAATTAAAGAAACCAGTTTCAATGAACTCAAGGCGTTCATCACTTAGCACCCTCGTGTCGACGTAAATGGGCGCTTAGGGTGCCACGTTGGGTGAAACGTTTCTCGCAGATTTTACATTTATAAGGCTTTTCCCCTGTGTGAGTTCTTCGATGCTTGATCAGGTACTTTCTTGAGCTAAATGCCTTTCCGCAAAATTCGCAGATCTCCGGCTTCTCGCCAGTATGTATCCTAGTGTGGATCTTCATGTACTCTCTCCTAACTAATTTACCGCAGACCTCGCAGGCCACCTGATTTTCTCCCGTGTGCGTCCACAAATGTTCCTTGTAACAGTAACTGTAGAAAGTCTCGAACCCGCAGATCTCGCATCTGTACTTTCTCCTGCTCTCCGGTTTGCTGTGAATCTTCATGTGACTTCTCAGATAGACTCTGTTCCCGAACGATTTATGACAGATGTCGCAGGTGCACGGTTTATCGTCACTGTGCACGCTCATGTGCGTTTTCAGAGTCGCCTTCAAGTAAAATCCTTTGTTGCACACATCGCAGAATTCAGTGAACTCCTTGTTGTGTCTCCTAATGTGAATCTTCAGGTAATATTCGGAAGACAGTTTGGCGTTACACACGTGACAAATGTGCGGCGCCCCGTGCAACGTTTTGTGAACATTCAGATATTTCTTCTTTTTAAAAATCTTATGACACACGTTACATTCTATCGGGTTGCCAGAAGCAGCAACCTGTTGGTCTTTCCGTTTTTTTGTCTTCATCGCTTTATCCTTTGGTTTGCGCTGTTTATTGTCAGTCGTGGCCGATCCTTTGCACCGGCCTCGTCGATGTTTGAACAGCTGTACTTTCTTCGCGAAACTCTCGCAGCACTTGTCGCACGTGTACTTTCTTCCCGGCTTTCTCAACGCCTCGCGAGTTCGAAGGATCGACCGCTCGGTTCTGTGAACCAACAGAGCAGCCTCCGTGTCGAACTGTTCATCGCAGGACTCGCATCGATGCGATATCGCCTGGACGACGCAGGTGTTATTTATTTCGTTGACAACGACAAACGATCGATCTTCCTCGTTGGACGATTCAGCGGCGCGAGACTGATTCCGCTTGGGTGCTATCGTCTTCACGCTTTTCGGTCTGCAAAAAGACAATAGAGCGTGAGCTGCCTTGAAGTTAGACGCCTGCACGCACGGAACGAGGACGCTATTAAGGTAATGCAATTTTTTCGTGAAATCTCTGAAATCAAGGGGAGAAAATTGTCTAGAAATTAATTGGATTCTAATTACGTTCTGTTCGAATTTAAACTTCGTTCCTTTTGTTGGTAATAAACGATATTTCTCTTTTAGAAAAATATGATTCTACGTGAAGCGAGAATAGCTGTACAAGTGACATATTGAAAGAAGATGAAGCTACTTACTGCACAAAGCCAGTCAGACTGCGATCAATGATTCGTAAAAGCAGATTTCTTCGAGCAATCGTTCGGATAAATGACATGGGACAGAGAATTGTTTCGTGGACACGTTGCACAAAATGCACACAGCCATGCAAAACGACGTTGGAGACCCTTGAGTTTCTCATTCGCAGGTGATTCTCGTATCGCCGTTAGAAATTTTCGATTATCAGAACCAATAATTACAGGTACTCTATAGTAAAAGATATTCGTAATTTACGTCGAATTTTTGTGCGCGTAAATACAAAACGTTTAAAAAATGTTTATCGTACTATTTATTTTTAAGAATTGGCTTACAAAAAAAGTCAGATAATAAACATGATTAGACATCTCATAGAAGTAATCAAGATGGATCAACAATCTCGCGCATTCATTCGACATTCGCACAATTTCCAATTTATGTATAGAACTCGTTGCACTAAACGAATTTGATAATGAAAAATTTAAGCTTGTCCAGTCTCATCTTTCACGCGAACAAAAATATTCTTAAAAAAACGTACGAATATTCTAATTGCTGCAAATAATACTATCTACATTTTACTGATACACTAAAGCAGCGATATATCACACTAAAAAATTATCAGTTTTAACAACCAGAACATTAAAAAAACTTATTCACTTTATACCAAGTACAACATGAAAAGCCACACGACGCAATTATATTTTCTTTTATAAATTAAGAGGAGTAATACACTAATTTAGAGAGTGTTCCTTGGTTTAATCGTCAAGCTTTAGATATGAATTTAGGACCCTCAAACAAACAAATTTTTCCTCTGGAGATATGCTCGCAAATGCTTTACCATTAAAGTTGTAGGACTTAGTAATGTATGCCATCGAAATAATTCAACGAGCAACCTGTTAAGAACATTGAAACATTAAAATTGAGAATAATGCAAGCGTATAACGAAATAATAGTACAGTGTCAATTGGCCACTTCTGTTATTGATAGTTGTAATGCTTGTCTCCAAGTTGATGGTAATCATTTTGGGCAACATATTAATTACAATAATTACAATTATTTTATTTTTTTAGTAATAAATACAACAATTTTCTTTAATAATATACGTAAACCTGAATTATTTCGATGGCATACATTACTAAGTCCTACAACTTTAGTAGTAAATAATTCTCGAAGGAAACATTTTTGAGCATACTTCCAGAGGAAAAATTTGTTTGTTTCCTAGAGTGCTAAATTCATATCTAGCGTTTGGCGATTTAACCCGGGAATACCCTATATATAAGAGAAGTCATGAAAATAACGTTTAATTCAAAATCAATGAAACTAACGTTTAATTAGGAAAATTTTTTTTTCTTGAAGTATTACTATATGAATATATCGCAATTGTCTCGAGCACAAAACAGAGAAAGGCGTTATCACAAACTGAAGTACTGCTTCTCACATAATCTTTCATTCGTTTACAATAATTCATGTGATTGTATTTACGCCTATTTGCACTCGTTGCAAAAAGCACACCTATCGATTAAGGTTTACAGTGAATCATACATGTCTTCTCCATTTTTCTCGAGACTTTAATTCGGATATCTTAAATGCACATTCTTTTCTTCTGCAAAAAATACATCACATATCATAGTACGCATAAGGCCTTGTCGTATTGTACTTACGATTAATTAATTTTTTAAAGCACCTCTCGCGAAATTTTATTATTATAATTCTCTCTATATAACGTTATAATATTCAAGAAATAGTAAATCACATGTGCGATTAACAGAAACCTTGAGTATTCGAGGAATATAATTATAAAAAAAATATTTTAAATGGACGGCTGTGTGTTGTTTATAAAATTATATGTAAAAAGATTTCTCTCGACGTTCACGCGAGGGTAATGTATAAAATATGAAATTTTAGAGCGTAGCGTAGAACGCGCCAGTAAGAATTATTTTAAACACTTACGATTTGCCTTAGTCTATAAATATATATACAATTGGTAATTGTCGCTCGTTAAAATTAAAACGGAAAAAGGAGACGGTATATAAGAGAGTCACAGTCAAAATTGGTCACACGACAACCGTAAGTTTCAAAATGGTGACTGAAATACAAAATAGAATAGCTTTCATCAAATTTGAGAACAGAAATATTCGTTTGAATCTGCATTTGCCCAAGATATAAATATGACTGATATTATGCATGAGTACTATGTATGGACATATATCACGCATGAGAAGTATAATACATCGCAGCGATATATTAGTGGAAAGGTCGCTTACAGTAAACTTCGACGTGTTCGTAGTTCATATTGATTCAGTTAAGTGTTGTAGTTCGATACAACTTTGCGTGTTAAAAAAATCCTCCGAGCAAAACAAAATTATCAATAATTTGCAATGGAACAAAGACGAAAACTGATGATAGAGCAGTGCAATTATAAAAATGGAAAAAGTCAACGAAAAACAACTGAATTTTGCGGCAAGTAAAAGCAAATTCCAAGATTAGTGGACCAAAATTTGCTTTTTATGTAGAAAAGTATTTAAAAAGAAAGTACATTCTGAAAATGTACGTAAACTCTTAAGGAAAAGAATTTCCATTATCCAGAAAGAAGCCGTTTGTTAGTGCGAAAAATACTCATAGTGAGATTCGTATGACAGTATACAAGTACAACTTTTTCATTCTGAAAGAACATAATCTTCGCAGATGAGAACAGATTTAATTTATTTGGGTCAGATGGACGGAATATAATATAGAGAAAACCGAACAAGGAATTTAAAATCTCCGAGCAATTATAAAACACGGAGGGTTTGAGGTTGCATGTTTGCATCTGAAATGGAAAACTTACGTTTTATAAAAGAAAATAAGAAAATAGATAAATAACAATATTTAAATATTTTGCAACAAACGTTATTGAATACATATGAAACGAACTGAAGATTCGTATTCGCAAACATTCAATTTACAATAAGAATGATTTGGAAATTGCATTTATTAAGGAATGGGTACAGATACCATTTTCTTTTACCGAAAAATTGGTTAAGTCAATGCTTAACAGATTACAAAGTATTGATAAAAGTAAACAAAATATTAAATTTCTTCAAGTATCTTCATTTTCTAATTAATTATTTCGCAAAATGTTTAATTGGTCGAATTAAACTTATTATTATTTTGACTTATTTGTCATAAATTATGTACATACTTTGGTATGTCTTTTGCTTGTATATAAAAAAAATTCGAAACAATTGTTTTTGGACCTATTAAAAATTAATCTATTTTGTACTTCATTTACTATCTCAAACTTTAAATCATCGTGTGGTCTAGTTTGAATGTACGTTATTGCGATTAAACTTGTTTAAGGGCGTTAATAAACTGGAATATTCATTAAAAATGTACATATAATGTTTATATGATATAAAATAGCTAAATGCAAGTATGAAGAAAACACTCGAAAATATGCTTGAGCCGAGATTCTAACATAAGAATAATTACGTTAGCGAGGAACTCGTATAGCACACCAATTCATCCTTCAAAAGTTCAAAATTTACATTAATTCTCGAGACACTGACTTTCAAATTTCAAGTTAAATGATATTTCGATCCACGTATATGGAGATAACGAATAACAGTTTCTACACAGAACTGTGTATGTAGAATAAATGCTCGAAATACTAATATCTCTCTCAACGTTCCACAGTCAATGAACGTTCGAACAATCGTCATTGATTCTCCCTTCTTCTTCATCACAAATAATATAAATACCCCACCGTGCCTACATAAGCATAAGTAACTTTC